TTTGGAAGAGTAGTCACTGCTACTCCCTAAATGCACTTAAAATATCCACAGTGGTAGTGCATTCTAGACCTACACTATCAGATATAACACCAATGTATGGAATGGCTGACTGGGAATTAACGTTATGAGCCAGCAACTGACCCTGCACTTTCCCCTCCGCCCAGGTAAGTCTCTTTTATAAAAACAATTTATATTTAGCCTTATTTTCTTGTAGAGTTTGTAACTGTGTGTGATTTTGTATCCAAACGGCCTTATTCCCTGGAGTAGGAGCAGTTGTTTTAATCTTGCTAATCTCTTTAATCAAAAGCCCCCTCGCATATGCCTTCATAGTATCCCATACCCTCCCCGGAGAAGCCGTATTCTTGCTATTATGGAAAAAGGAGAGAAATCTTCCATTATAGTATTGGGGAGGGTAATATTGAGAAACAAAAAGGGTTTAGTTGCCAATGTAAACCTATACCAGATCTCCCTGGTCTAATATCTACTACCACAGGATTGTGGTCCGATACCCCCTTGGCTGCATTTCAACATGGGCAACATATGGTAGAACAAAATCCACTCTGTAGAAAAGTGGGGGTGCTCCTCTACCGCCGACATCATATTTCTTGAACCAGTCTACAGAATAGATGTACCTCTACCGGCCCATCCTATGAAAAAAATAGTTCTCTCCACCAAAGTGGCTGCACAAACCCAAACAAAAAATGTAATAACTATATTATCAATCAAACCTTTAGTCAGCCCCAGGTGGCTCAAAAAAGTGCACCTGGTCCTCAGCTTGGATCTGCATTTTAGGTGGATATATCATAGCATATTGGCGATGCAGACGTTTCCTAAAGGAGAACTATGAGGTGATTGCATTTCACTCACCTCATAGTTCTAGCCGCCCTGTGATGAGACTGTCACAGGTGGGCGCAGTAGAGCGGGAGGTGAGCGAACACATCCCGGCATTCGCTCCCCTCTCGATCCTGTCACGGCTCTCTGCCGTGACAGGGGAGGGGCTGGATTCCCCCCTCCCCGCTCCGATCCGCCAGCCCTGACTGGCGGAACGGACAGGGGAGGGGGCGGGTACAGCTGGCTCTGCCTCTAGATAGGCAGAGCCAGCTGTCAATCACGCAGCTGGGCGGATCCCGGCACAATTGTCAGGATCCGCTTCAGCTGCGGCATCTCAGTATACCGCGAGCTATAGCTCGCGGTATACTGAGCTTAGGGTGACGGGAGGCCGCTAGTTTGTGTCCTCCCGTTACCCTAAGGAGAACTATGGGGAAAAGTGTTAACCCCATAGTTCTCCTTTAACCTCCTGAAAACAAGCCCTGCAACATCTGCATCAGCTGTTCAGTACTGCCCACACTCTCCCGGCCTTCACTGACAGTCCCATCCCAAATACCCATCTTCTAAACCGCACCCTGAGTTTTAGCGTGCGGTCTAGTGCACTGTGATGCAGTGAGTCAGTGACCTCTGGTGCCAATCAGTGCGCCTTGGAAAAATGCAGCATGTCTGCATCTGTTTGCACCGCACATCACACCAGCGTTTTGTGAAGGGGGCACATAGAAAACGTTTTTTTCTATGTGCTTTAGAGCCATGGGACCTTCATTTTTGCCAAGCAGAAAAACACAGGTTGCCAAATATAGTGTGAACTATACATGCATTGAGCTGGGCAGCCTACCGGGTGCAGTCCCAATGCAAAGGCACACATTGCTGCGGTACTGCATGCAGTAATTTTTTTTAGCGCAGCGCAATGCCGTCCACCTGATTGCACCATGCTGAGGCCGATAGAACTCAGTGACATTTCATTCACAGAAAACTCCACTTTTTCTAAAAAAAAAATGAATATAACAAACTTTGTTAAAATCTTTGCAATGTACATTCTTTAACGTTCTACCAAAAAAAAAAAACACACAGTTGAAAGTGCTTTGTTATATCTGTGTAATAAATGCCAAAAAATACCTGTTGATCCTGCCAGAAATCTTCTGAGCTGATAACATCCTGTGCTCTCTGCCTCTGCTGCAGTCGTATCAGTAATTGTTTCTATTACAGAAGCCACACCTGTTTTAGGGCCTGTTCACATGAGATCAGGTCCTGATCAGCAGACGTGGAGCTGCTGATGCAGTGCGTTTTTGACGCGTTTTTGATGCGTTCTCGGTCCGGATGCTGACAGTTCATTTTTTTTTTTATTTTTTTTTTTAGCCAAGGGGCTGTCAGTATGCAGATTCAGCCTCTGAGGTCACTTCTGCCCTCTCAGAACATCTACTTCCCTTTGTGTATGTAAAGCTGGGGATCAGACATGTATCACATATTTGCAGGCATGTTGATGGTGCTGGCTACAGCAATCTGCAGAGAACAAGCCCGCAGGAGATGTCGTTATTGGATACACCCAATCTTGAGGCTCCAGGACTCCAAGGGTCAGGTAATGGGCATGTTCCAAATGTTTGCAGTTCATGTCGTTACCTCTACCCCAACCTGTCTGTCTATCGTTGATAACATCATAATAAGTGGAGCAAGAATACAATTTTTTTTTTCCTTAGCTGCATTGCGTTGCGTTTTCGTTGCGTTTCGTGCGTTTCCGGACCGGACAAAATGTGACATGCAGTATTTTTTCTGTCGTAAGCTGAACGGACTGCGCACGTTAGAACTGTAGCCCATAAAACACATAGGGATACATTGGGATGCATTTTGAGTGCAGCAGCGTACGGATCCGGTCAGCACACAAAACGGACGTCGCGTGAACAGGCTCTTAGAGTGACAATGCTGCTCCTTCATAGATACAGTACAATGAGTAAGCGTTGTCACCCTAGGACAGTGCAGAAGCCAGTACATTGTAATCATAACCTTTTTAAGAAGAAAAAACTTTATTGAAATGTCAGAAATGACATTTCATTCAGCTCTACAGCCACAGCATGGTGCGGTTGTTCGGTGTCACGCCATACTGCTCTGAAAAAATGGCTATTGCATTTCATTGCATTGGGGCTGTGCTGGACAAGACAGCCAGGCCATGTGGTGTGAGTCTGCCCTAACTGTGATTTTTTTATGTATGGTTACATTGAAAACGTTGTATTGCCCTCAGTGATACCGCGTTACATCTCTTTACTCCAGACTTTGATCAATGTGTAATTAAACCTGTTCAATAAACTTTATTATCAAACAAATTGTCATATTTATCACCAGCATTACTGCAAAATCACTTTCATTCACACGCTGTATTTTACCACATGGCTAGTGTGCGCTGAGTTGCAGCGGTGAGCCGCAGTGTCTTGCATTTACTTTTCTTCTCTGTTATTTAACTTTATTTGCAGTGTGTAAAGGGTACACTCCATTCAGTTCAGCGCACAGAAGCATAGTGTACGGTGCGGCGCTGCAGTGACGTGCGGTACAGTCTAGTGCTCTGCAAAAAAAATGCAACATCTGCATTTTTTTGCAGCGCACCACAGCATTGTGGTGTGACTAGTGACCCTTAGGCCCCAGTCACACCATATCCAGTGCCTTCCGGTGCAGTTCAAGCCCGTGTAGCAATAGCACATGAGCATTTTTTCAGATCGCACTGCACCGGAACGGAGGTCATTCCTGTACCTCGTGTTCCAGTGCAGGCGATCGCACTGCGGGCAGGGAGTCGTGTCTGCAGTGCCATTCATATGAATAGCACCGGCACACCCCCCTCACACCCCAGAACCCTGCCTGGCTTGATCTATGTGATCCAGTGCTTTTCGGGTTCGAACTGCTCCGGAACCCACTGGAGATGGTGGGACTGGGCCCTTAGGGCAGAGGTGTGCAACTCTGGCCGACCAGCTGTTGTGGGGACTACAAGTCCAATGAGGCATTGCAAGACTTATAGTTACAGGAATGACAGCCAGAGCATGTTGTGATTTGTAGTTAAAGCACAGATGGAGGGCCAGACTTTCCCACCCCAGCCTTAGGGTACCCATACATGTTACAAGCTGCTGTGGGACTACAAGTCCCATGAGGCATTGCAAGATTGACAGTTACAGGCATGACTCCCAGAGGCAAAGGAATGTTGTGATTCGTAGTTAAAGCACAGCTGGGGGGTCAGCGTTGCCCACCCTAGCCTGCCTTAGGGTCGCCATACTTGTTACAAGCTGTTGTAGGACTACAAGTCCCATGAGGCATTGCAAGACTGACAGTTAGAGGCATGACTCCCAGAGGCAGAGGCATGCTGTGATTTGTAGGTAAAGCACAGCTGGAGGGCCGGAGTTTGCTCAGCCCTGCCTTAGGGTCACCATACATGTTACAAGCTGTTGGGGGACTACAAGTCCCATGAGGCATTGCAAGAATGACATCTACAGGCATGACTCGCAGAGGCATGCTGTGATTTGTAGGTAAAGCACAGCTGGAGGGTCGGAGTTTGCTCAGCCCTGCCTTAGGGTCACCATACACTTACAAACTTTAAACGTAACAAAACTATGCAAAATGGGGATCTATGTAAACAATCCAATCAATCTGTATCCAGTCAGACAGACCCCTTGCATTACATAGTGGTTGGCAGACCCTGATTGGAGATTGTACAATCAGATTGTAACGTGTGCTGAGCTTTCCCATTATTTGAAGAGATCTTTATTATACCCCGTCATATCTCAATGAGGGGGGACGTGTATAAAGACGGGGCTCTCCCTCTCATAGAAGGACGTTGGAGGGTGGCTTTCTACAACGGCAGTGAAAAAGTTGAATGTCAGTGTGGTCACTGTACCTCAGAGACGTGGTAGTGTGATGTCAGTGCTGTGATGGGACTTTCCAGTCAGCGTGTATACACACCCATCGCCGGCTCCTCCCTGCCTCAATACAAGCAGCAGGCTGAGGCGGGGGAACTTTCCTCTCTCTGTGTATGGAGAAGTGATAGTAACACTCTGACAAGGTCTGCCGTAACCTTAGGACTATCAGTGCTGGATGTAACGTCCTCCTCAGGAACACTGAGACTACATTAGATCCCTGTGTGTGCGCTGCCTTCCCTGACCCATCATAGGGAGACCATTTCCTCACACCGTGCAGTAACCATGGCAGGTAAGTGCCCGCTGGATTCCTATCTATCTGGGTTATACGGCTCCATGTTTGATACTTAAAGTGTAGCTAAAGTCAGGAGGGAAACTGGGGCAGACAGAATCGTAGTGACCAATCAGCTTCTCTCTTCAGTTTGTTCAGTTAAGCTTTGAAAATACAAGACAGAAGCTGATTGGCTATCACGCAAAGCTGCTCCGGATTGTCTCGGCTCCAGTGTTGATAAACTCCCCTCAGTGTTTTGGTTAAGTGAAGAATGTTTCTTGTATGAAGGAAACACTTGTTTTTTGTTTTTTTTTGGATACACTAGGGGAGGGTTAAAACTACTGTCAGGTATTTTAACTGTTTTTGTCACATTATAGAAATTAACCTTCACTTCCTGTCCTGTCACACTCAACAGGAAGTAAGAGAATGCCTTTCCAATGTGAGGGGAAATGCTCTTTTGTTGTCACTAAGAAGTGTCTACATTAGAAGATTTCCTCTTTTTTCCTGTTCTGGGGCAATTCAAAGTTTTGGATTTGCCTTTTATTCCCAGTGACATTTGTGATCATGTGATCAGGGAAAGCAGAAAGAGAAAAATCTCCCTGATGAGAAAATAGATGACAATAAAATCCTGACAGGGCTTCTAACCCCTCACAACTCTTCAAATCTAAAAATGTTTTGAATTTAGTTATACTTTTAAATCCCCTATTTTTGTTGTTGTTGTCTGTGTCAACTGACAACACCAGGGTGCGCGTCACTCCGCACATGCATGATGACGTACTTGGTTTGATGTCATCACGTATGCGCTGTGATGTACTTCACTTCCAGCGTCCATCTCGATGATGGATGCCGGCATAGAAAGGAGGGGAAAGCGCTGCGCAAACTGTTGGCGCTATATAAATCCTGTATAATAATAATGTTGGCTTGGCGGGATCAGATATGCCGCTGGGTCCTCTCCTCTCTCGCGTGCCGCTGTCGGGCTCGTGGTCTGTGACCAAGTGCTCGACTTTTAAGAGTGGGTGACACCAAAATGATTCCGACACCCCTCTGATGGTGTCACCCCTTGTGATGACACTGCCTGTGTCCTATTGGGGAGATTTACATTCACGTTCCTGCTGCAGGGACACAACAGGAAGTTTGAAACACAAACAAACTTAGCTTAAACCTACCTAGTGACGAGAAATTCTTTCTTAGACAGTTGTTATGAAAACATTGTCCCCATTAGATTTCCCCTTTATTTCTGGTCAGGGGTTGTGACACTCTGTCCACCATCTAAAGAAGGTTTTGTCTTCAGACACTTCCCTCCATCTACACTACAATGTACATAGACCTGGGGGTCCCATACATGGCTGGTGTTGTTCATGGAGCAGTTTCTGTGTGAATGGACAGATACATCGCTGTAACCGCTTGCAGTGTGACAGTCAGTGTGATGGGCAGTGTGACAGTATGAGGACATTGTGATGGGCAGTGTGACAGTATGAGGACATTGTGATGGGCAGTGTGACAGTATGAGGACATTGTGATGGGCAGTGTGACAGTATGAGGACATTGTGATGGGCAGTGTGACAGTATGAGGATAGTGTGATGGGCAGTGTGACAGTATGAGGATAGTGTGATGGGCAGTGTGACAGTATGAGGACATTGTGATGGGCAGTGTGACAGTATGAGGACATTGTGATGGGCAGTGTGACAGTATGAGGACATTGTGATGGGCAGTGTGACAGTATGAGGATAGTGTGATGGGCAGTGTGACAATATGAGGACAGTGTGACAGTATGAGGGCAGTGTGTAGTGAAATAAACAGGTTTGTGGGTGATTGTGTCTATGTATGCATTCATTTTTATATTTATATATGTGTGTTTTCATATGCTTTGGGGCAAAAAAGGCTTTCCTATGACATTCAAGAGAGAAGCCACCACACAACCTTATTGGCAATTAAAATGCCACCTACATGCCTTCATTGCCTATTAGCAGTAGACTAGAGATCTCCGTGTCCATGAGTCCAGGGTGACAATCCGTGTCACATTTTGTGTTGATTTTCCTTGCCGGTGACAAGTAGGTGGCAATGAGCGCAGCGTGGACACAACCCACAGCTCTTCTTATTTGTCAGCAATATTAATGGTTCATTTTGAATGAACAAACACACAGTATACTTTGTGGTGCCATTTCTCTTTTTGGCACACGGTATTTTCTACCATTTGGCCGAAACCAAAAAATAAATAAATAATAATGAAAACTAAAAAAGGAGAAGTTCTCTTGGCTTTCTGTTTGTCACGAGAAATGAGCGGATCACTTCCCCCAACAGATACGACAAAAAAAATCCTTGTGAGTCACACGTATCAGTCAGATCTATATTTTCAACTTGGAGTAACATCGGGGGGGATGGGGGTTCATATAAAGGGTCTGAGACAAACTTTGTCCCAACTGAAGCGCAGCCAATCAACTCTGAAATTGTAATCTCCTAAGCTGTGTGGAAAAAATAAAGATAGAAGCTGAGTGGTTGCTATGAGCAATGACACC